AAGTAGCACAAAATTATATTGCACTAATTTAGTAACTGAGTAAATTAATTTAGCTATTTGCATTCTGGAAGTATTGAAAAGCTTTTCAATACTCTGATCATTCTTCAGCTGAACAATTCAGATGTAATGTGTTCTCTTAAGAATAAGAGCTCTATTGCAAGAGCTAATGCCACTGAGCAGTTCTGCTGGATGCACCGAGCATCCAAACCTGCAGTTCTCTCTGGATAACCACAGATTATTTTCCTTTTCTTGAAAACACCTCAGGCATGTGTGACTTTCTGCTGTACTTTCTAACGCTGCCTGCTTTGCTTTGTCCAGGAAACTGCATAATGAAATGCAAAGAGTTCAGCTCCCCCAGACCTTTGCCACATCTTGGATACAAGGAACCGTAAAACTTGGCAGAAGATAAAAAGGAAATGCCTTAGATTCAATCTGAATTCCTTTAACATCATCTCCTTTTCCCCAGTAGTTTTTGCAAGACCAAAACTGCTTTAGACTTCCTGCCAGGAACTGTTTGGAGTACGGTGATGATCATTTTTTTTTTCAAGTAGATTTCAACACAGGTGCTGGCAGGAATTTTTCATTCTTTTTATCTTGCCTCCCATGATGGGGAAATTACCCTCCTGCTGTGAAGTTACGACAGGGCAGTTAACCATTACAAAAAGAGCAATTTCAGGGTGACTGAAGTCAAATATGCTACTAATGTTATTGGTTAACAGTTACATTTCTCCAGTCCCTTCTGGCTTTCTTCTAGTTAATAAAGGGGAGAACCAGGCATATAGAATCCTTATTTTGGTACCGCTTAACATTCACCTGTTGCTCCCTGAAATTAAAAGTTGGATTAAAAACAGGCTTTACTTCTGTGTCAAAAACAGAAGAGCTGATCATCTTCACACCGTTCTGCAGTTATGTAGTGATACGTCAACTGCCTGCTATTTTGTGCCAGAGTAATTTACTCTTGCACTCATTAGTATACCTCTGTTACTTCAAAATACTATTGCTCTTTATGGCCAGGCAAGCTACAATTACTTTTGTGGGTAGCAATTAAGCATCCCTCTGTGATGAGCTTAAAACTGTGGCAGGGGGACAAAGCATCAAGTAAAGTCCCTTTTCCTGCAGCAAAACATCTTGTGATCTCTGCTGTGCCTGGACCAGGAGAGATTTGCAACTTGGTGCATGATCCTGACTGAAGGGTTCAATGACTGCAAAACGTGAGGTCTTGGAAGCATAAAAGTCTCCTAGTCCCAGAGAAAAGGTTGACAGTGTACTGTAAGAGTAAGGATTACGTTTCTAAACACAGGGAATGAATGTCAGCTTGTTCTGTTGTACAGCATGCTAAGAATTACATATAATCATTACGACTTTGTGCAGCTTATCTAAAAATCAGACTAACCAATAGCAGCTGCTGTTTGTAATTCAAGAGTAACTGGGTTGTCTGCACTGACAGCTTAAGACACACAAACACCAGGTGGTTCAATTCTCATGCACACACTACATGGAAGAAATACAAATCTGATGCAGCTGTAAATTTTAAAACCCATGTCAGAGTAACTTTACCTGTGTGTATTATGGAACAAAACCAGAACAAAAACCACTTAGAATGCCAGTATCAATTATTTTTGCTAAAAGAAGGAATTAGAAGTTCACAACTGAAGCTGCTTCTTTTGATGATACGAGTCTTTTCTAAGAGTGTTCTTGAGGTAGAGGAGGTGGAGAGGGGTTAAACATTGAAAAGGGTTTGGAAGCCCTTAGAGTACACAAGGAAATGGTTTCTCTGTGGAAAAACAAATTCCAGATGGATAGCATGAATTGGGAGAAATGTAAGAAACAGCCTGCATCTAGTCTTTTTTATAGTAAAGAAAGCAAAGTCAAGAAGCTTTCTGGGCAAAGATTCCTCAGTGTGTTACAACAGTTAACCCCGATCCAGGCACCTGAGATGATCAGCTGAATACTCCCGACTCTTTCACCTAAAATTACTCTAGGTATGATTATGATGTATTTAGTTTTCCCTTGAGGTGTTTCCTTTTCTCTCTCTGTAATCATATTCTGATGGAGCAACGCAAAACATCCATCCATTTCCTTCTCTGTGTACTTTTCTTTGGTGCCTCTGTTTCTTCGGTGTTTCTGTATTTTCTCCTCTGCATACCCCAGCTTCTGTCAGATCAGTCCCTCACTTCTGCAGTGAGATTCACCTGGCAGTGGAACGAGTTGCTCAAATAATTCAATCTTACAAACGCCTCGTGTTTTGGATGGCAATTTCATGGCTGAACAAACCTGTGCAAGAGCCATCCCCTCATTCAAGATAAATAGATGATAGCTGTCGTGCTCATTTGTCCCACAAACAGCAGATGCCTTGTTCTACTTATTGTTTTAATGATGATGAAATAGAATACTCCTCCCAGAGTTTAGCACCACAGGAGACACCAGATAACTGACACTTGCATACAACAGAAGCAACCAGTGGCTCATGGGTACTTAGGCCTGCAGTAAACAGAAGGCAGTTGTAAGTCTCCAGGAGGGATGTACAATTAGACACTGCCTCTGTGCTTCAGAACGCATCCCTGGCTGCCACTTCATACCAACACGTTGCCTTCACCTCTAGAAATAAGGGATGATATTTAGCTGTTGTCTGCTCTTTCAGACAGACAATTATGATGACGACTACCTATCACAGATATAGTGAGATTCAATACCAAGCCTTAACGGTACTTTTGCCTATTTCATCATACGTGTCAGAATTCACATCAATACGTATTTGCTGTGAATTTATATCATCTTATTTTCAGCAGTTCTGTCGTGTAGGCAGACAGGATAACAGATGAACAAAGGAAAACAAGCAGATAATGTATCTTCCCCTTTTTACTGAGTACTGAGTGTAGGGAACCTGCTTTGGCAGGGAAGTTGGACTCAACGATTTCTGGAGGTCCGTTCCAACCCCTACAATTCTGTGATTCTGTGATCAGCTGGGTAAGACTTGCTGCAAATCCATTAAACATAAATGTCTGATATCCTTCAGATGTTTCCCTATCTTTTGCATTCTAAACATACCCAGTTTACAGAAGCTGAAAGTAGTTGCCAGCAAAGGTACATGTTAGTTCCCTGCTCTCCTGCAGCATATTCTGTGCTGTTCCAAGTTTTGTTTAGTTCGAGCATCTCTCACATCTGAGAGTATTAAGTTAATTTTGTGCACACTGCCACCTGCTGTGGTTAACCAAAACTAAAGCTGAGATAGCAGTATTCCTGGTAGTGGATTTCAGTGTTTTCATGCAGCACACAGGTGCCAGCATTTGCATTCAGGTACCCTCTCCCTAAAACTGAAGGATTATATTAGCCTCAGCCTACAAATATACGCTGTGACAAGTAAAAAAAGTTTTTAGTTAATTACTTCCTTGTTCAGTCATTTATCTTTGTGCAAAGCATGTGTAATTCCATATGTTACATTGCTGAACATTGAACACATGCTCATGTCAGCATGTTTATGGACACACACACACACACTGTGGTGGAATCGGGGTCTGGTGAAGAAAAAGAGAGCCAGTGCCCGCCCTCAGGTCACTTCCATCCAACTTCCCTAATGTACCACGTGTATGAGAGAAGCTGCTGTGCTACTAACAAAGCTGTAAGGGCACTAAGGTGATCAGAGGGCTGGGGCACCTCTCCTATGAGGAAAGCTTGAGGGAACTGGGCTTGTTTAGCTTGGAGAAGAGAAGGCTCCAGGAGACCTCACTGTGGCCTTGCAGTGCTTGGAGGGGGTTGTGGGAATGGAACATTGTTTCTGCATTTGATATTAAAAAGAGCAATTGGAATGAAGAAGTAGAACATAATGCATTTGTATTCTGTAATGTATCCTTAGAAACAGTTGATCTAAGAAGTAAAATACTACATATATTAGCGGCATGTTTTAGAAACATTATTACTGAATTATGTGATTCATTCCTTCTTGCAAAACTGTAATAGTTGTTAAATGTTCCAAACAATGCACGTATAGTGTTAGGGATTAGAAAACATATTGTAGAGTTCTGTTAGGATAAGAAACTCCCAGCAAAAGAAAACCAGATTTAGCAAACATTAAAGAAGCTTGGGCCTCTACACAAAGCCGAACTCTCACCCTGTGAGGTTGGGATGTGACAGGCAGGCACCAAGATACTCCCCTGTCTTTCTCCCAAGCTTATCTTTGTGGAAAGAAGGGCAAGCAGATATCTGCAAAATAATGATTCAGGTGTGGAATAAGTTAATTAATTAACTACAGATTTATGCTTAGGCAGCAAAAATTTATGATTTTCCAGTGTTTCCATGTTTAGTGAAGTGTTGAGAAGATTGTGAACCTAAAGTACTCAGCCAATGAGGAATTAAGGGAGAAAGAGATAAGCGTCGGGGAATAGGGAATAAAAGATGTAACTCTGTTTTCCGGGTGCACTCCTGCTTGCAGGAGGCCCGCCACTGCAATTGTGAATAAAATCTGCTTTATCAGAGATACCGTCCTAGAAAATTATCTGGATACTTCCAACAGAGCGTATAAACAGCAGGAGGAATGGCTGATTAATGAGGGTGGATAGTGATAGGACAAGGGGGAATGGTTTTAAACTGAGACAGGGGAGGTTTAGGTTGGATATTAGGAGGAAGTTTTTCACACAGGGTGGTGAGGCACTGGAACAGGTTGCCCACGGAGGCTGCGGATGCCCCATACCTGCAGGCATTCAGGGCCAGGCTGGATGTGGCTCTGGTGACCCTGCACACAGCAGGGGGTTGGAACTGGATGATCACTGTGGTCTGTTTCAACCCAGGCCATTCTGTGATCCTATGATCCCGTAAGCCCCATCTGAGCAGGCTGTCTCCGTACCTCACACACACACGCACGCCAAAGATTCGATCGCAGTACCTCCTCTGGGCACGGTGCCGCTCCGCCGGGCCGCCGTAGATCTCGCTCCGCCCAGAGCAGCGCGGCTGCGGCTGCGCACAAGGAGCCGGGTTGGGCCGCGTTGTGGCGGCGCGGTGCGTCCATGCTCCGCGCCGTGCTGCCGCTTCGACCCCGCGGCTGGTCCCGCCTGCGGGCCGCCCCGGGGCTGCTGTTGGGCTGCGGCCGGGCTCTGCGGGCTGCCGCGCCGCCGGGCGCTCGGGGGCTGCGCTGGACTGGTGAGCGGCGGCGGGGAGGCGGGCGGGTGAAGCGAGCTGTGCCGGGTTCCGGCAGTGCTGGCGGCGGAACGGCTCGTCTTTCTGCAGGTAACCTCTACCGGCGTTTCACTACGGAAGCCTCTCAAGCCACTTTAGCCAGCGTATCTCCTGTGTTTGCAGTGGTAAGTGCAGGCGGTTAGCAAAAGTACTGCGAGATGCAGAAACGTTTGGGCTTAGCGTAGGGTTTGGGTGGTCTGTTGGGAATCGGGGTTGGACGTGATGATCCTTGTGTCCCTTCCAGCATTCCGTGTTTCTGTGATGTTCCGGTTGCTTTGAGCTATTTTCTGATTTGAGGACCAGCTGTGGTTCCATCGGGATGAATTTCCAAGAGAAAGCGTTTGCTGCAAGTTCTCTTGCCTTATTTGTCAAGTCAGATAAGCCCTTAAGAAGTACTGCCGTTATTGGTGAGGCTTACTTGGTGGCTTTCACAAATGTTCCTGTGTCACGTTAACTGTAAGCCTAACCAAAGGTAGGGTCTGGGGGCAGACAAGCTTCTCAAAGTGAGACAGCTGTTTGCAGTTTCTATAGGCAAGGGCTCCTGTGCAGGCATTCTGAGAGATCCATGCATATGGATCCATGCATATGGATCCGTGAGGCCATGCAGTTTGTGTTGCAGCTGTGCTGGAGTGTATGCTTAGGTGTGTTTTGGTCGTAGAAGTTTGATTTCTGAAGCCACTACTAAAGAATTAAGCTGCATGGCTTATAAGCAAGAGAACAAACTATAATTAAGCCTGAATTTTCTCATTAAAATAATTTTGCCGGGAGATAAAAGTCTGAAATGAATAAATGGCAAATGCTAAGAAGGATGCTAACTGAATGCAACACTTGGCACAGACATAGGGCCTGGCTACCACATTTACCTTCTTCTTTATTATTTAAAAGTTACGTTTAATTTTCTTAAAACATATCTTGCTATTTCCATGAGTACCATAATCCGAAGCATAAGGTGTCCTTTTATGCTGAAGCATCTCTGATCCTCTGTAAATTGCCACCTTCCCAAGGTTTGCGTGTAAAGGTCCTCATACGCTTGTTTTATGCACAAACACAGCGCAATTTGTGGCTGCAAAATCTTAGTTGAGATGAACAGTACAGAAAAATATTAAAAGTTAGTTATTCTTCATAGAGTATCTTCCCCTTTTTTCCACTCCTCTAGATGAAGCTTGACAAAGAGGGGAATGCTACCTTTTTTGGTGAGTTTTCATTGTGTTTTCTTTTTTTTCTTCTTTCTTCTTGCTTAAAACTCAGTTAAGTATCTTTGTTGGGTAGAAAATCCCATTCAAGCTACTTCACTGTTTATTAATTTGTTTCAATGCTTCCTCTGTTTTGCTGCCTTCTGTAGGTTTTCGTAGCATCTTCATCACTTCAGTATTTGTATATTTATAATTAACAGATTGAAAGTAATGTGTATGGCCCATCCTAGGAGGGTCATTCGTTGTTTTCCTGCTGTGTAACCAGCATGCTGCTTTCCTATTCCTTTTCTGCTGTTTCCCCTCCTATGGAATTACTTGTGCTTTCACAAACCAGCCACTTCACTTCTGACGCCTTATTAATTATTGCGGCGTCCTTCTTTATTTACATCTATAATTTTTCTCTTTCCACTCAAGATGCAATCTTCTGAACTTCATAAAAAATGAATTTCATTGAGGAATCAGTGGGATAAAAATGGTTTTAAAGATTGCACAACTTTTTTTGTTTTGTGGGACTGAGTAACAGACTAAAGTGCAATTTCAGGGCATACGTGCTTGTCCTCTAAACATCTTCATATAAAAATATTTTTATGACAGAGAAAAAGAAGACAGAATTGTACCAGGAACTGGGTCTTCAAGCTCGAGATCTAAGATTTCAGCACCTTATGAGCATCGCAACTAGGAACAACAGGATCATCATGAGAATGGAGGTAATGACTTCCCTGCAACCCAGTGTAGACTTGAACCATCTTAGCTTTGCCTTGCATATCCTTATGCAGTTCTTGTAGCAGCTTTCTGATCCAACAGCAAATGTGTCTTTGGGGCTCTGCCTCCTTGACCATACCCCATTAGTGCAGGGTTGGATTTGAACAATCTGGAGTGCACTGGGAGCTCACAGTTAGTGAGATTCTGTTATTTCCCTGACTGAAAAGCTATTTGAGGAGTGCCTTAATCTAAGTCTAGATTGCATAACAATGAGATTTGAAATCTTCAGAGGGCTTGGTTTTTTTCTTCAGACTTCTACATGTATTCTGTCTTTTTCAGTTCTTGAAGGCTGTCATAACACCGGAGTTTCTTCTGGTACTAGATTATCGTAACTTAAATCTGGAGCAATGGCTCTTCAATGAACTGACATCTCAGCTGTCTGGGGAAGGTCAACTAGTTACATATTCTCTGCCCTTTGAATTCCGAGCCATAGAAGCAATACTGCAGTACCGGGTGAGCTGTCTGCATTTTAAGTTGTATTGAAGCTTTTGCTTCATAGGAAAGACATTGATTTTCTTCCTATGTTAATATTTACACATCCATAATTGTGTGTGTATTCCATGCTTATTGTAGGTCGCTGGGGGTGTTGTGTTTTTTAAGGTTTTGTGTATTTCCATTTCCTCCTCTAATAAGTGCTAATTGAAAAGTTCAGTGAGGGAACAACTTGGATATGGATGCAATAGCTTCGTCATGGCGTGGAAAAACAAAGAGCTAATTAGAGTACCTTTCTGAGGACGTGCTACAGTTGAAATAGAATGTTATGCAGAAGCACTGAGGGCTTCTTGGGCAATGAGTTCAAGCTACCCTTAGAATCTATGCTAGCTAATAGTAATGTGACGTTTCTAGATAAACTGCAGGTGAAATCCATGCAGCAAGTATTGCCTGGGTGTTTGAAAGTAGTTTATATTAATTGCCAATTACTGTGAATTCTGTGTTTAGACAGTCGAGCCAGTTGCCCAAGCCACTCTGAAGGGATTGCTTTAATTCTTATGAAGGATCATGTTGTTATCTAGATCAGCAGACTGCAAGGGAGACTTAATACTTTGCAGCCTCAGATCCTTGAGACACTGGAAGCTCTAGTGGATCCCAAGCTTTTGTCTGTGGATAGGAGTAAACTCCACATTCTCCTGCAAAATGGCAAGAGGTAAATAAGCTATGCAGAGACTAGAAGGTGACCATAGAAAATTATAATGTTAGAAAAATGATACCTATTATGAATTTCATAGCTTACTGTAATGCTGTGTTGTGCATCTTGTAAATGTGAAAAACAGTATAGTGTACTTAGTGATGCGGGGAAAAACAGAAAATCTGTTCTGGTTTGTCAGAAGTACAGTCAAGCTTCTAAAGTAACACACCTAATACAACAAAATAACATCTAAGAGAACAAAATAACACCTAGTAAAACAAAATATCATTGTAATCTCCATAGTGTAAAACCAGCTAGCCATCGGTTCTGTGCTTTATGGTTACTAACACTAGTTCACTGGTATCTTTATGTATTAGCCTGTCTTAATGGTCAGTGCAAATATGCACTTCCTACTTGCTCACAGAGTGCTCTTTTTTTTTTTTTCTTTTAAATATATTGGGGAAAAACCAGCTGAATCTTTCAGCTGTGTTTGTAGCTCTCTGATTCTCAGATTGCTGCCGTTGCTCAACGTATGGTCTCTAAAAAGCTTTTTTAGAGCAGCTCTCAAAACCCTTTAAAGAACTCTTCCCTGAGTATTCAGACTGGCAAGGGTGCTGTCAGTCTCTTCTAAAAATGACCTCTGTGTGTTGGTGCCAGTGGGATTACTGACTTTCTGCCTGTTCTTTCTTCAGCTTATCAGAACTGGAAACAGACCTTAAGGTTTTCAAAGAAACAATTCTGGAGATCTTAGATGAAGAAGAATTAATTGAAGAGCTCTGTCTGTCTAAATGGACTGATCCACAAGTATTGTATGTATATTGTGAAACCAGATACTTTTGAAAAAGTGTGCTTTGCTTAAGGAGAACTTGAATAGTGATCAGAATGTTCACCTCCAAAACAAAAAAAAGAAAGAAAAAGACTTCTTTGTTTTCTTTAAGCCCTAATGCTTGCCAATGATTAAACACCATTTTGGAGAAGAGCTCCAGTAGCATAGTTTCAAATAGCTCATGACATTGCAGGCCAGTGCATCTAGTACGTGGGATGGCAGAAGAAGAAAAAGCAGATCTTGTTTTTCAGTACAAATGAACGAGTTCTGGGAGAGCTGTCTTTGATTTCACCAACAAAACAAAGGGGCGGTGTTTAAAACTTGAGCAGGTCAGACACCTGTTCTTTTGTGACGAGTGTTCTGAACATCTTGCTTGCAGCTTATTGCTCATTAACAGAACTGGCATGAGGGAAGCCTCAGGGCAATCGTGATTGTGTAAATGCACCTAATTTCAGGAAAAATGCACACACAACTTGCACTCTCTCAAGTCCTAATGAAGGATCACATGCATCAGCAGCAGCACAAGTCACTTTAACAAAAACTAAAAAGGAAGAAGACAGAGAATGTCAGATTCCACTGTTTTGGGCTGAACAGTTTTTAGATCTTGGGCGTAGACATTATCTTTTTAAGTAGACAAAATACCTTTCAGGTCCTTGGAGGAACTGCTGAGTAATGCTTCTGCCTAAGCACACACTGTATGTGAATATATTGATACTGTTCACACAGTACTGTGTGAAATCAGGAAATAAATTTCTTGCCCTGCAGAGCTTAGGCTAAACATGTGATAGAAAACTGGTATCCTGGAAGTGGGACGTGGTTTGCACTTGTGATGCATCTGAATTCCAGGCTGTTCCTAAGTCTTTGTCTTGCCTTTTGCTATCAGCCCTCGTTTGGTCTTCATGTGAGCTGCTGGCAAATCTCGTAGTCAAAATGTGTAGGGAGCATCAAGAAGAGATATTAAGGTCACCATGCACTCTCACGAAAGGAGAAAGGTGAAGTACTTTCTGCAAGATGTGGCCACTGAATGAGACTACAAGAGGTGACGTGAGGTTGTGAAGAGCGCTGGAGCCATGCAGCAGGATGCTGTGAGACAGTCCATGCATTAGGCTCACTTGCAAATACTGTCCAAACAATGTCTCTGCATGCAGACTGGCAGTGTGTGGGCAGCTCTTTTGACCCCAGGACACAAAGGATGTGTGATATGTGGTGAAATCAAGAAGCCTATCTGAGGAGGTCTGAAGGAACACACGTAGTAGGCATGTTGGTGCCTTCAGAGGTCCTTTGGAACAGAAATGATGAGCTGAGACGGAAGGAAAAGATGAGGCAAACATCCTATCTTTTTGTGAGGAACAGCAGTGTGTTAAAGATTTATGAGACAGATGGAGTCTAATTTCTGCATGCAGATCAGATGGCACTCATTTTCAAGTTTTTATGGCTATAGTTTTCTTTTTTGCACACACAGATGAACCAGTATAAAGATACTTATCAAATAGGAACTTGAAACGGATCTGTAATATAGCAGATAGTACTCTGATGCTTTCAAATCCCCAACCTAGCTCCTCTGTGTGAGATAAAAGACCCTCTAGTTCTGTAGGACTTTGAAATCAGCCTGGCTAACTTAAGATTTCTGCTTCTTAAGATGCAAGGGACCCTGTTAAAGGTCTCCAGGGAGCTTGAGTTGTTGATTCTTAAGATATACCACTGACTTTCTTGGAAAACCATTTCAGAGTGTCAACAACACCAGAAAGAGATTCTGGATTCTATAGAAAGTTTAGTCTCTTCAGAGAAAAGAAGCCATTCCACAAAAGTTAAAAAGAAGGTGAAATCCCTTCCTGGCTTTTCTGCTAATTTCTGGTCTCTTCTGGATCTTGGGTACCTCAGCTTTTGCCTGTATGGTAAAGAATCCAGCACACCACCATAAACTTGTGGTTCTAGAGAAGGCTGCTGCCTTGGCATTCTAGACCACATGTGTCCAAATTGTTACTTTCACATTTTTGTTGCCTTCTTTTTAGATGTTTTAATAATAATAAAAAAAGACAAAATGATATTTTGTTACTTATATGCAATAACTATATTATATATTTTGCACGTGGCCCAAGGCAGTTCCTCTTCACTCAGTGTGGCCCAGGCACATCAGTAGGTTGGACTCTCATATCGTAGACCATACAGTAACATCCAAGTCGCTCAGACTTCACTTAAGACAGCAGCAGCATCTGTTTGGCATTCACCTTTATAGGCAGCTTCATGCTCACAAGAATGTTGTGCAATAATTACTAAGTATAGCTAAAACAATTTGCAACTAAATTGTTTGAATGCATACCCAAATCACAGCCTTTACCGTGTAATCGTTTGCTGACTTTGGTTTTTTAGTTCTTGGACTTTTTGACTGCACCATTATTAACTTCCACCAATTGAGGGCACCAAGAAATTATTTCCTTTCATAAATGTCAGCTCTTCATAACTTTATATACGAAAAAGTTAGATTTCATGTTGTTATATGTGCCTTGAGCACATCAAATGCTAACTCGAAACAACTGACTGCCTGTACTGGTCAGCTGATGGGAGGTGGGAAAGCATTTTATGCTGTACGTGTTAGAGAAGGCCCCTTTCTCAGTCTAAAAATTTGGATTTTGAGGTCTGGTGTCAGATAGCATTCTTGACTGTTGCTCACAACTCTTTAATGGGTCTCATCTTAATGGTTGATAATACACTCTGGTACAGCACGTGTCTAACTAGAAAAATATAAATTATTTTTCACAGTGAGGAGAGCACATCTGGGATTGACCATGCAGAAGAAATGGAGTTGCTGCTGGAGAACTATTACAGGCAGGCAGAAGATCTTGCAAATGAAGCTCGTGAGCTCAGAGTACTGATTGATGATTCAGAAAGTATAATATTTATCAACCTGGACAGGTTAGTTGTGCTGTCTGCTGGACTGACAAAAGCTGAACAGAATGCTGCCTGTCCTTTCTCAAATCACTGCTGAAGGGTGGAGAATTCCATTTTTGGGAGGGTTTGAATGGACTCGCAGTAAGCAGAACTGAAATTCATATTTAAATGAGAGTCAGTCTGGGCTACTCAGATGTGCAGTCCAAGTTGCATTATCATCTTCAGCAGTGATTCAAGAATGAATGATTCATTTATTTCGCTGCGTTACCGTGTTTACTACATATTAGTTTTTAACTGGAAAATAATTGTTGCTTGCACTTGGAAGTGCATGCCACATTGTATTTGAGGTTAGTTTCTGATATCTTTCTCCTCTTTACTGAGGAGTTATCTGTAGAAATAATTGGTGGATGCTGCATCAGGAAGCCACGGAAATTCTTTATGGGAAGAGCTGAAAATGGAATTCCTCAGAACAAGCTTAACATTATAGTCTGCAGCTTTTACTTACTCTGCTTCTTTGTAATCATATTAATTTGCAAAATAACAAACCTTTTGTTGACTGAATACTCACGTAAATTTCAGCTAACTGGCAGTGAGGGAAAGAGAGAGGAGTTCCTTGGAATTTTGTTATTCTGTGCATGTACCTCTAAGAAGCAAGTGATGCCAGAAAGTATCCAGATGGTTACACAGCCTTCTGTATTAGAGGTATACTGATGCAGCAGTGTCAAAGTGGAAGCCTCCTTATACTTTCATTTCATGATTTGGTCCTGTGCAGCCTAAATTCAGCATGCCTTTTTGTTGTTTATTTTTGATACGTGCTGTAAGGAATTTAAGAGTTTATGCAACAGATAATTTCTGGACTCCCCTTTCAGATATTTCTTCCTTCTTTAGCCACCGTAATGTGATGATGAGACTGAATTTGCAGCTGACAATGGGGACTTTCTCTCTTTCACTCTTCGGACTCATAGGAGTTGCATTTGGTATGAACTTGGAGTCATCTCTTGAAGAGGTAAGGAATGAATGTTGCTTTTCTCAGTGACATAAAATTCATTCCGTGCTTTTATAGTGCGTTTTACATTCAGTAAGACTCAATTTTTGCCACAGGGAAATACATGTTAGTGTGCAAAGTAAGGTATTTTAAGACAGTAATTCACGTCATTTTTTTTGAAAGCAAATTATTTCATGGCTTGTAGCACCATATTACAGGGTTTTTTTGTCTGTATCCAAGAAAAAGAAGCAATAGAAGTATGCATAAATACGGACTGACTATAAAACAGTGTTCAGGTTTCTTTAACAATTGCCTTTGCTTCTGAAGTGCCCAGCTTAGCCTTCTTGTCTGTCAAGGCATCCCAGCACACCAGAGGGAAATGCTGTACTGTCAGTTATGTGGCTATTCCCAGACTGGTGATAGTATTTGCAATTGTATGTGCTGTTTGAAAAGAGACGTTAAAAAAACAACAGGAAAACTAGAAAGACCTCTTCTTTCCCAAATACGTTAAATAGAAATGGTGGAATTTCCAAACTCCCAATGAAGGAAGGAAAGCTGCATTGGACAATTGAAAAACACATTGGGTTGATTTCCAAATAGCTTTGCTATGAAACAGCCCTTTTTCCATGGTGTATTTTGGCTATTAAGGATAAGTTTACCACTTTCCTCACATGAAGGAATAGAACGCTGGTGGGGAGTGAAAGATTTTCTTTGGATAATTCCTTTTCTGAGGTGGGAATTATGTTACTAATGGTGTCATTCTGCTTTTAGGACCCCAGAATCTTTTGGCTGGTGACTGGGATTATGTTCCTGGGAAGTGGCCTGATATGGCGGCGTTTGCTTTCCTTCCTCGGGCGGCACCTGGAACCTTCATTACCTCCTCATGTATGTCTGGTTGCCTAGGATTTCTGCTTCAGAGTGTGTATGCAGTTCATCTCTAAAGGAAGAAATGTGCAGTTGTAGAGGGGTGGATCGTAGAGCTTGTGAGGAGTTAAGCTAAGTCTTTGCCCCTTGACTTGATGAAAAAGGGTCTCCCTGGTTGGAGTGAATGAGGTGGAAAGCCTAATGCTGTGCAGTATATCTGAGCAGTAAGATATTGCAGGCTTTTGAGAGATGCCTTATTTACTTCTGTGTAGGAGCCTGAGGGAAGCTGAGGATTATGGGAGAAACAGACATAACCTGCCTTCTCAGCTGCTGCAGCAGTCTCTTCTTAGTGGGCAACATAAGGGATGCTGCTCTCCTCTTCCCACCTGCATGCTATCACTGGATCTGTGATCCCTTTCTCATAAGAGATGAAGATAAAAGGAAGATAAGGACAAGTACTAGCTGCAATATCTTTCTGAAGAATGGTGCTGTGGTTCTGATGTCCCGATGCTTAGAAATTTGCAGTGGCTTCTCACATGCAAGGCAGCTGTCCTTGCTATTCGTGCTGATGGCATCGCAGAGCCATATGTCACCAAGATGTATGAAGATTTCCAAGGAGGCAGTCATCAGAAAAGAAAAAATTTGTATGAGTCATTTTCCTTGTTCACTACTCTTTGCTGCCAAAAGTTGGCAGACTGTATTGTCTGTCTGTATTCTACTCTCTAATAATTGAGTAGCAGTGGATTTGAAAGTTATGTTCCTACAGGTGACCAAGGAAGGAGAGACCCAGATTAGGCTCTTTTTCTTCCCTCTCCTCTCTTGCCATTAAGAGGCAGATGGAAGTAGTTCATTGTTAATTGTTAACTGTGGCTACAAGTAACATGATTGTCCTCAAGCATTGCTCAAGACCAACTGCAGTGTGTACTGTCTTGGAGGAATGTTCTGAAAGAGCAGTATCTGTCACATCCCTACTGAAAATGGGAGGAAAAGCAGGATTCAGGCCTCTCTTGATTTCCTTCTCTTGCATAATAGAGTAATTTCTCATGTAATTGTAGACTATTTTGTATCTTGCTTAGGTTCCTGCAGTTTTGAAAAAATCCCAACCAGCAGCTCGAAGAGTGGAGATAAAGAACAGCCTTAAAGCAGAAACTTTTGGACTGAGCAGAAGCACACTGGCAAACCAATAGGAACGGCAGGAATGAGGAGATACTTATTGTTACAGTGTAAACTTTGGACACTTTCATTTGTTCTTCCTTCCTGAAAATGTTAAGAATTTATAAACTTGCTAATTTAATACATATTTTGTGCCAAAAACATATGGTGATATTTTAATGCTCACATAAAAGGAGGGAAACTGAAGGGAAAACAGTGACAGGCTTTTCACAGCAGTCTCGCCTCCACCCCATGTATGTTCTGTGAGATTTCTGTATCACGTACTTATTTCAAGCTTCTTTCCAACACTTCTTCATGTAGCAGGTTTTCATAAAGAGCAGCATCCTCAGCTTAAGGATGACAGCAGTCAGCATTCATCAGTAGTGGTTCTCTGGTTCTGAGCTGCAAGTTTAGGAATCTGCCTTCAACTACCAAAGAAAAATCTACCCTCAAAGTGTCCTTTTTATTTATTTATTTTTTAAAGCTTTGCTGAATGAATGGATTTTTCAGAAGCCAAAAGCACGTGTGCATCTCTTTGTAAAGCACTACTTCAAATTTGACAGTAGCCAGAAATAATGCAGCTTATCTTAAGTGAGCTTTGAAACGTGACTTACTGCGGGTATTACTGAACAGTTTAAGTTCAAACTGTATGCACTCTTAATAACTTGAAAAGCAGGTCCATGAATGATGTGTAATGCAGTTGTTATCTGCTGCATGAACGTAGCATGTGTCCTGTGCTGGACTAAAAGAAAGTAAAATTCTTATTGTCACTATTTGTGTTTTTTCTTAGGATTCATCTTTGAGTCCTCTGGGGACGTGTCTCTCTACTGGCTTGTTTCAGTCTGTAGAGGAAGTAAAAACATCTTTCCAAATCAGGTTGCTAATTGTCTAGGGTTTTGTATGGGCTTTTTGAACTTCAGTAACATATAAGGAAGAAAAAGCAGGATTCAGGCCTCTCTCAGTTTCCTTCTGCATATAGAGCAATTTCTCATGTAATCATAGGCTGTTTTGTATCTTGCTTGTATAATACAAGCTAGTATGTATACAAGCTTGTACACATACTGTACAAGCTAATACAATGTGTTGACTCCTTTTCCTGTGCATAACTACTTACTGCATAATCAAAGCACTGACTGACTGCTGTCTTCTTTATGGACATATACAAACTTCTAGTGGTTTTCATACCATTCAAGTAACTAAAATGCATTAATGTGCAATAAAATTACTCTGAGGTCACACACAGAAAAAATAAAGCCAGGAGAATATATTGGCTCCAGAATATATTTGTATCAGCAGTTTTTGTTTATAAAAGAAGAAGAAAAAAAAATCTGCCCTTATGAACACATGGCTTGTTTTGCCTCATAGCACTAGCCCTAGATTTGGTAGATAAGTATTGTGTTCAGTGCTTCCTGTTCCATCCAGTTACTGCTTCCATGAAGTGCAGATTTTGAAGTAACTCAGTGGCGTAGTTATTTTTCCTATTTGGGCAATAAGGTCCCCAAAATAGATGTCAGAACACATCAAGCTTATGTTTGCCTTGTCATCTTTTTTTTTTTTTTTAAGAGAACCTTCCAGAGAGAGAATTCTTTAGAACACACAAGTTGAGATGTGTTATGCTTAAGTATGGCCTGTAGAAATCTGTGCTATTCCACTGACTTGTGTTACCAGAAATAATACCTTGTGTTTGTCAAGGAGACAAGGAAGAGAAAATGGAGATACACGTGTATCTGTGGATTGTTGTTACTAATAGCATAACATATTGGTGCTCTGGTTTTTTAATAGATGATGCACACTGTTAACCTGCACTGGACAATGTTAATGTCAGCTGAAGGCAATACTGTTAACAATAAAAGCACAATTCTAAGTTATCATGCTCATGGAATTATACCTAAAGCATAAAAAAGGGTTTCTGAATAGTTTCAGCCATGAGTGTGAAAGTTATTCAGTCTTGCATTGCCCTCTTCTGGGGAGAACCCAACTGAGCTACACCCTTAGTGTGGGCCTCAACACTTGGCTAGAGATAATCTTTCGTATTGGCATCTACCTGTTCTTTTTGGCCTATAGCTGTCCTTCCTCCATACTCACTATCTTGAAAGCAACTTTTGGTGTCTTAGAATCCCCGTCTTTATCACAGTATGCTAATAATGTAAATTACATGCTATTTCTTCTTGATTCTGTCAAGGAAAACCATAACGACCAGTATGGAATGTGACACAGTTACTCAACATATGTTATACAGCCAAAATTGGCTAGTGAAATTTAGTCTTCTGCTCATTTTAGTCTCCAAAAAAGTTTTCAGACAGGCTTACCTGTACCAGGTCAGGAGTTGCTGCCGCTCACAGAAGTTAATTTGCCCAGCATGACTGACTCAGACTGATTGGTTTGTAAGTCAAACCATCGCAATGCTTACATTCCTGTGACAGTTGCACTCATCTGTCTCCTGCTGGCAGTACTGGCTCAGATGCTGCTGGTGAGCAGTCTAATTGCAGGCAAACTTTGCGAAATTGTAGAGTCGAGGACCTGAACTCCTATGCTGAGCTGGTATAGTTGAGAAGACACAAATAGAGAAAAAATGGCATGTATGTGTATTGCATGACTGTGGAAGGAAGAAGTTTAGCTGCAAGTCAGCAACTCTAAAATATTTGCAGCCAGTGGCGCCCATTGAGCTCTCCGGGACAGCAGCAGCAGCCTCTCAAGGTTAATCCTAAAGATTGAGAGATACCATAACCTGCATTTGATTTTTACAACAAGGTAAGCTACGTTTCTGTATGCATGCAACATTGATGCATATCAAGCTTAAGTGACATTTTGTGTTAATTATAGCTTAATCATTAGATTTGTATTAATTAGCAGAGTACTTGAATGCCATTAAATATTGATTAATAAGTCATTTCTGTTAACCTTACAAGAAGCTCAAATAATTCACTTGCAACAAAAATCGGCACAGCCAGGATATGGAGGCGTGGTGGAAATGCTAAGTGCTGCTATTACAGCAGAATCTATGAAGGATCTCTTGGAGCTCAACAAGGCAACCTGAGAAATACCACTAGAACCATCCTCTGAGATCCTTTAATTGGATAATTTCTGGAGAACTGTGGGCAGAAATTGGTTTAGAGTGAAACTTCAAATCTGTGGTGTCCCTAACCGGAGGGGATCGTGTTATATCAGACCAAAATGAGGTAGATGACTTTTGGAGAGCAGACCCTTGTAATGAAGTTAATCACTAAACAAAACTTTCTACTGCCACTATAAAAACAGCCTGCATCCTGGAAATGCACATGGAAATTACCCCATCCCTGCCTCTGTAGACCCTCAATCCATGAAACCACTGATATGGAGAGTTCTTGCTTTTCTAAAATCACACCTCATTGCAAAAAGGGACAAAATAAAGCAATGTGTGGAGCAGAATGTGGAAATGGCCAGCCTCACCACTGGCCCATTCAGCCCGGGTGGAACTGATGCAGGACATCATTGGTCACAATTGAGAAACTGGATGAGATATGACATAGGATAAGCTTGTTCTCCCAGAAAAGCCAGCATGGAAAAATGTTGCTGGGTACAGTGTGACCAGTTTGTTACTAAGGGTCATCCTCCACCACCACATAACCCAAGCAAGGAATCTTTCAATGTCCTTACGTTGAACAGCAGGTTTCCTTTCTCCTAGAAGTATCCTGAGAATGATTCTGCAGCAGCTTTCGTATTCAGACATCAATCCAGATTTATTTTCATACCTTTTCTCAACAACACAGCTTTGCCATCAAAGTTCACACTAACGTTCAGCTCTCCTATTTGTTATCAGGGCACTGAAAAGGAAGGGTATTGTTATTTGGGAGAATCACGCTATTTTTGTTCTAAAAAGACATAGACCCTCATTTAAGACTGTGGCAGAAGCAGAGGTCAAAAGAGTTTAGTTTTGCCCATTTAAAAAAAAAAAAAAAGTTTTTTCCAAATAAATCCCACATTCTGTACCTTGGTACAAAATAAAGGAGAGCACGGGTACAGCCGGGCTGCTCCACAAGGTGACATCAAAGGACCCAGCCACAGATGTAGATCATGGTGGCAAACTGAAATTCAAGGCCCCACTCAGCAGCAGCATGAGATGCCAGTCCAGGGGCTGGAGAGGTGAAACCCCGGGCTCAAGAAGCAACACTTGCAATCCTGGTACCTAGAAAAATAGAGCCTATGCCCCCGTAAAAACCTGGAATTCAAAGTGAAGCTATAGGCCCCAGGGGTAACAGCTGCCAGCCTGGAGCCCAAGAGAAACGAAGCAAGAGGCCCAAGGAAGCAGCTGCTGCCAGGCTGGAGCCAACTTGAATTAAGAAGTATTTCATTTAAAGTAGAACTTTCAGCCTGTGATTGGTTGACATAAAAAAGGGCATAAGCCAACACAGCAACAGGGAGTCAAAGCTATTTTAAGCAATATATGTTACATAGAAACTTTGGGTTAATTAGACCACTTGGTAGGCAATGTCCTTTCTTGTCTACAACGCACACTGGAATGAGCAGGAGAGAAGAGAGGGGTCCATCCAATACCTTCTGGGAACTGAAGTGGTTGTGTACCAGTGCCTCTTGATAGAAAACATGGAGAAAAAAACAATATTTAAATAATGGCACAAAACTGAGGAAGTCCTCCAAAGCCCTCCCCAGTGGAATTGCCTGAGTCTAGTGGAAGGGCTGACCTGTCAGAGCAGAGTCACTTCAGCAGGGAAAGGGCATGAGTAGCACTGCATCTTCCTTCTGCTACTCTGTTAGCTTCACCCCATCATTCTGTTTCTGCTGTTACTGAGTTTTCTTTCTTTGCTCACAGAATAGCTCTGTAATGCAGTTAAACACCTCTTGCACATTAATATTTTCTTTTACACTCATCTCAAACAGTTGTATTTCCATCTGCCCAGAAAACTTACAGGCATCCTCTGCCTACTACTTTTCACTGCTGGTCATCACTCTTGTTCCCCACTGGTATGACAGAGATCATCACAGGTTTGATTAATTTCATGCAAACACTGTTTTACATTCGTAAAAGATTCTGCACTGGTTAATTCTTAGACAACAACATCCCATGTGTTCCTCAGTAATATGCTGATGTAATAATTTGGAAGCACTGTTGTTCAATTTTGTCCCAGATCAATGGCTTCACTTCCTCTTCACCGATCTAAACTGTCTGGATTTTAAAATCAGTTCCAACTGTGGTAATGTAGCTGCCTGAGAATGTATTATCCACAGAATGCAACAGCCAGTGATAAGCAACTTGAAAAGGTGGTTGTAGTCCTGTGCCATGGCCAGGAGTGGTGGGAGCGTGGTGGGAAGATCAAGTAGATTGTAGGTTGGTCACACAAGTAAAACAGGCACCCCAACACCCCCTAACAAAATTATAAGTTCCTAGGAGAGGCATAAGCTTTGGAGAAAAGCTTTGTGTGAAGCACACCTTGGGTAGTGATATAGGACTGACCAAATGGAGCTATACCCAGGTCTACACCCAGCCTTTCAAAAACAAAGAGTAACAGGAAATGTGAAGCAAACCAAATAACCACCTGCTCTCCAAACCCATGGGAATGATCATTTTAGACCTCTTCAGGAGGAACTGCAAACACTGCAGCAAAAAAAAACCAAACAAGTAAGCCCTGAATAGTATTTGGGCTGCCTGTCTGAAGAAATGAAACTTAACAATGGGATAACACAGATGACTCTCACATTTACGTCCCAGTCAGCCCCTAAAGACAAATAGTAAATTTTTTATTTGGTACAGGACCTCAAATGTCAATAATCTCAAGTACAGATGCTCAAATTACTTATGTTAAACATCACCAATGGAAAGTAAAAATAACAAGATTTGAATACAAAAGTACAATAGGCCCTGTAGCTAAAGGGGCTACTGGGGAGACAAAGATATTAAGGCATCAACTAGCAGTAATTTCAGGGAAGGAAAATGTGTTAGATTTTGATGTTTGCTTAATTATTAGTTGTGTAGTAAGCAGTAGAGTGTTTGCTGCTAAACAGTGATTAATAAATCCTTTTGGTTAACCTCACAACAAAAAGTTGTTTTGGTAATTCACTTGTGAAAGTTTGCCATGGTTTAAGATCAGTGAGCATGCCTCACTCCCTGGATACTATGTGGGGTGCTACCTAGCTATCTGTACCACGTATCTACTGAAGTTTGCTGTCATGTTTTTGTTGATTTGTTAGGGGTTAAGGAAAGTATCACAGATATTACAGAGATTCTTCCTTAAAAGACCAGTTTTGCCCTGGTCTTAAAGACCACCAGGACTATTCAGAATGAGTAGAGAAAAAGCCTTCCTCCAAGTCGAGCTTTTGCTGAACTTCTCTCTGCTGCCACTACGACTTCTTTCTGTGGAGATGGATTGGAAAAAGAGTCAGCAAAGTGCAACTAAAGATGAAAGATAGCCTTAAGCTTCCCCAGTGGAAACTAGATTTTGTTTTAGTATCATATGGACGTGTTATGAGAAGAAATGGGAAAGCCACCCACCTGATCTGAACAGCATTTAACAAAACTGTTTGATGAATAGACTTTATTTCATTTGGAAAATGCTAGAACTGGTCAAATCTCGCGTCAACATAAACTCTCACCAGCAAGATCAATAGAAATATAGCTGAAGTTTAGCCTGGACTGATGCCACAGGAAAAGAGCACAAATGATTGGAAAACTACCTCATCTGCACTCATGCAGAAACCAGCAGCAATGTCTGTGCCTGTTGTTGGATTATAAGTTCTAACCTAACTTTGATGCATTCGCATTTCCAGGTGTTTCTTCATTGCACGTTTGAAGAGCAATGAGCAAGACCTGAGATGTTGACCCATACACATAAGTGATGTAGACAGATGTAACAAAGCCACCAGAAGCAATTACTTT